TTCCTGCAAGATCCAAGTAAATTATGTTCCTTTATTGTTCTCCTTGCCATAGTTCATGCTCTCTTTCTCTTGCAGTTCTTTCTTTGATACACTTTTAAAACGTATTTGCTTAGTTTTCAGTACTATTTCAAATACAATTCAAAGTCTGTTCATGAGAAGATTCAATTTTCAATATTGACTTCAATATGCCCTGAGCAAATACAGAATTTGAATCTTTCCCAGAGCTAATGTTCAAGCTACATGTCCCTAATTCATGATTGTCTACTATAGTGCCAGTCTGGTTGTCTGCCACCCCAAAATGCATTTTATTGCTGCTGTCCTCAGTAGTGGTATCTGTATATCCTGATTACATACTGGATGGTTGAAAAGTAGGGCTGTAAACTATTTCTTGAATAAAATCTGAGTGGTAATGACCATTATTTGGTTTATGCAACAGCAAAATGCACTCAACTTGCTCCTGTTATATTTCACCTTGTGCATTTTTTCCTTCCTTCCGCCAGATACTGCTCTACAACCTGGAAACAGGTCAGTGTTTAACAAAGCTAGGCAGCTCATTGGGTGACTTCACATGTGTCAACCTCCAGAATTGTCCTCCATGGATGCTTGTTACAGGCAATAAAGACAGGAGGTATGTAAAAGCAAGAGCAATACCTTATCTAGAGTTAGTTAACTTTCTGTCCCTCATTCCCTGCTGGCTTATGTTCTCCCTCGTATACTGCAAACACGGCCTGCATAAACTTCAAGAGTACAGTGTTAGGTAATAGTTGGCGGGGGCTGCCATTTTGCTTTGTCTCTGAAAGCACAATGGGAAGACTTTCTTTTTAAGCCATTTGGTGGACACAGTTGGTGTACAGCCCAGCGAGACCACTTGGAATATCTTCCACTTCCCCCCATCACCACCCACAAAATTAGTTTGGCATTTAAAAGCTCACTTTCTGATATTAAAAAAATAACCTCGGGGATGAATCATGTAGGACGAGATGGGCCCGCCTGCCAAATGATGTCAAGAGTGTATTTCGGAACACTGCAGAGTCCCTCAGGTGACAGCAAAGAGACTTTCATGTGAACAGATTCCAGCTTCTATTTAGCTGATTAACAGCCTTCTCTTTAACTCCTTGGCTTGGCAAGTTGGATTTTCCCTGCATGATATCTGGTGCCAGAAACGGACGCACTGGGAACAGTCAGTGTGAAAGGATTAAAGTGCTTAAAAAGACCCTTTGAGTCCAATTTTTAGGTTTTCTTTTTTGGCTGGTGATCTGCAGGGTCACTCCACTGCACCAAAGAGATGTGGGATGGGGAGAGGCCAGTCCCCTAAGTGCTGGGCATGTGGCTGCAGGTGGTAGTCTGGTTCAGTGGTGGGTATCAGATTGTGAGGCGGATACTTTCCATTGCCAAATCCCAGACCTCTGTCCTGCCAGTGCAGCAGCTTGCAAAAATGATTATTTTGTCAAACTATTTTTTTCTTTTCGGCAAAGAGGCAATGTAAGCAAACTGCCTACTTTGTCAGCAAAGAAAATACAAGAAGCAGCTTACGTGAATCCTTAAGATTTTTTTCTTAAATTAACAGGTATAAATTTCTCCTGGGTATGCTAGGATCCTGTGAATCCCAAGAAATCTGATGTAGTTTTTATTCTTTTGCATAATGAAGTGTTAGTATGCCCAGGTGCAGACAGAAGAGCACAGGCACATCTGATATCGCTGTTCATGTAAGACATTTAAAGCAGCGCCTCTTATATGAGAATAAATGCACAAGTCCTCTCCTCTTAGAATATCATTATGAAAAGCTTTTTATTCTGAATTTTTCAGCCCATTTTTTTGGTGTATAAGGGCCTGATTGGAACTCAATTGGAAAGCAGATATCCAGTGGTTCAACAGTTAAATAGGGCCTGTGAAAAAGGACCACCCACCACCAAAAGTCAAATTACTTTGAAGGTTTGTTTGGAGGGTATTAGCAGCAGCATAGTATTTTCTTAACTGGACCCCTATCTCTGTCAAGTGGACCTCATAACCCTAGATTGCTTTTGCAGGGTAAGTATTTGCAATGGGGCATTCACAATATGAATGTTAAATAATAACGGCCAATGGAGGAGCCTACTGCTGGATTTAAAATGGACATTCTCAGGATTTGACCACGTTTCTATGTGATAGGGAAAGTCCTCCTTTCAACATCACCTGTTAAAAACAAAACCAGAAACCCCTAACTCCCTTCCATTGGGGAAAGGAGTGATTCCTTTGAGAGGAGCCAAAGAACTTAGACTAAGTGCACTTTGGTAGCAAATAACGAGAACCAAATAGCATTACAAGAATGAGAAGTGCACACGCTCCACAGCAGCTACGTCGCTTTTCTTGAAGGTGCCTAAAATGGTGGATAACACTGGAAAACTAAATATCAGGGGAATCTGGTACCTGCCATTGTGGGAAAACTAGCTGAGCAGATACTGGTTTACATCTATTCCTAAACCTGGCTAGGTTTATTTCTGGAGCAATCAAATATCAGAGACAAAGACATATACCCCTCATTTGGACTAGTATAAAATTGAGGCATTCCCACTGAGCATAACTGTCATGGCAGAGCCTGGAGGGGAATGGCAGTCTGCAATAGCTGAGACTCCAGTTATTTAGAGCTTCATCTCGGGTGTGTAAAATGCCTTTTCTTTTTAAAACAAACGTAAACAACTCAAGAGTTCTTTTTAATTTTCTGAGGGCATGCAGGAGGGAAATGTGCCTGAAAGCTGGATCCTTGCTGATGTATCAACTGGGATGCAGTCAGAGTTTCGTTTCCAGCTGTGCTTACTAATAGGAGAAACCTTAATTATCATACAGGGCACTTGCAGCCAAATATGGGAAGAGTGCTGTAAATAAGAGAGTTTCTGCAATATTATACCCTTATCCAAAGTTCTAATGCACACCAGAGGCTCTTTCTCACTGTTGAAGTGGGAGAAAGCTAGGAGCTGTTTTCACTCTGTGAGTGTTCTGATGAGCTATGCCATAGGTGTTGCTACAGAAAAATCCTCAGTGTACTCCCATCTCTGTTCCAGCATGTTTTCTTGCCTGTCAGATGGATGCTACCCTGTTGGAGTCTTTGGATGGTTCTGACTTCTTTTGTTTTAATTGTTGGAATAGAGTTATTTGCAAACTCCTATGGTGTGGTTTTCATTAGAACAGGGAAAAGTGGGGAGGGCTTTTTGGAACAGCACAAGTATCAAATCATGAATATTGAACATAATACAATTTGGACTTCAATCTGCTTGCCCGTTCCATTTCTGACATTTATCAGGTTATCTTGAAATATTAAGTTTTTTAAAAACACACCATTTTTTTACTATAATGCTGGATTTGATGTTTTCTTAGGCATGTCAGGCAGTGATATAGATTTGAATTCAGCTGAGTTCTCTGAGACAGATTTTAATTGGTATAAGTAATCCTTCCCCTGCACAAAGACTTCCATTCTCACTGTCTGTAAGGGAAGAAGTGGCTGATAAACTCAATTATTTATCTCAGAATAGACTTGATAAAAGTTTCCCCCTCTCTAACTGACGCTTTTCCCTTGGATGCATTTGAAACTTTTCTCTCTCCTACCCACTTGTATGTTCCAGTCATCTGTCAAGGTTCTGATTCAGAAGAGCATCCTTATTCAAGAATGCACCTAAGCATGTGGCTGCATTTCCTGAATTGGAGCCCGTAACAGAATTTTTCTCTCTCAGGCAGGATGGTATCCAAACAGAAATTAACTTTTCTTCTGTTTTACAATCTGTTTGAAGACCATTATAATTATAATGATCCCTTATTAATAAGAAGCTTTAACATACACATTGACTCATAAAAATACTGTATGCTATCTTCTTGTAGCCATATTGGTCCCAGGACATTACAGAAGCTTAAAATTTTCAGTGTCTGCTATTTGAACTGTAGCAGTGCTTTGTTTGAATGCAGAGGAAGCACACAACTCTTACGGTCAATATTGTGTTCAATCAGCACACGCCTCACTTCATGTGCCCTTATCCTATGTGCGTGTCACTTTAGTAACAATGGTAGGAAAAAACATATGTAGATGGAAACCAGTGAAATCTGGCAACCTTTCACATGGGCAGTGGTAACAAAATGTCTTGTGGGCTACTCATAGAACCCCCATGGGCCTCAGGTGGTCCACCGCTGCCTTGGATAGAAAACATGGACTATTTTGGTTAATTGATCTAGCAGTTACAACCTCAGCTGTTCATCAAAAGCTCTGTTGCTCTGAATGTTTGACCTGTGGTGTGCTAAATTGAAGGGGTAGCTTATTTGGGTGCTCAGTACTTTCTGAAAATCAGAGTTTTTTAAGTTGTCTTGAGTTGAGCACCCAACGTCACTAGTCATTTTTTAAAATCTAGTCCAAAGGTTCTTTAAAAAGGCAGCCGTTTGCAGGCTCATCTATGGCTTTGTTCAGTGTTAATAATCACGCTTGTGCATGTTAACCTACAATTCCCTTGATTTTTTTTTCTTTGTAACATTTGGTTCCATGTCCTTTAGCTGCATTTTGGTATTGTCCTGACATTTTTATGGACAGTGCTTAGATACCTAGATACCAGGGAAACAAGCACTGTAGAAATACTTCCTTCCAATACATTTCCATTTATGATTCACTGCATTGTTAGCCGTTCATAAGGCACACAGATCATCTCTGGACTGAAATTCTCTATATATTTAATTGTAATATTTATATAATGCATGCAAAGAAGCCAAGTTCCAAACATTTGGGAAGAACCCTGATAGAAAATCTTTCAACTGACACTGGATATTGCACTGGGAAAATCCAGTGGGGCAAAAAGACGTACAAAAGATCTACTTCTGATTCCATCAGTCACGTGACACTGAACTGGAGTAATTTTAAATATGACATAGAAGAGAATTTCATGCTAGATGCTCTCATTGCTATGAGGGGTATTTTCAAGGCCAGAAGAACTGCTAGGCAAGCATTAGCAATTTTTGTAGCCCAAGTTAGGAATGCATTGACTACTGTTTCATATTATATTAATAAGTAATCCTGATGGGACAAATCTCCATTCTCAACAGTAATATCTAATCTGTATTATAATAATTGGTCAGTAAGGTGCATGTTTAATATAATGTTCATAGTTTTCAAATGAAGAAATCTTAACACTCCCAATAGAATCACATCTTGGTGTAGATGTCAAAAGGCCTTTTAGAAAACAGATATAGTAGTAGGCCTTGTTTGCCTGGTTGATTGGAATTTAGTTTACCATATCATAGCTATGGTATATAGTGCTCATAGTATAGACACGACTTCAGATGGCATATAGCCAATAGAGCAGTCAGATTAGCTGAAAGTTTTTAGCTGCTGATTTTGTTGGATTTCTGCCTTTGCCAATGAATTGCAGGCTCTTTAAAAGTATTCTGGTTTTGTAAGGGTAATGTAACTGTAATCAATATCCTAATATAATCCAAACAATGTTTGACTTCTCAGGAGCTGCAGACGGGAGTATAACTGCTGCCTCTTTGTTCTTGCTTTCCATTTGTTCAGGGTCAGGGTATACGACCTCCGAAAAAGCAAATCTTTGTGCTCACTCTATGCCCACCATTTAGGAGTGTCTGCTGTGCAGATGGATGACTGGAAAATTGTCAGTGGAGGAGAGGAGGGTCTGGTCTGCGTGTGGGATCAGCGGATGGGCACCAAGCTCTGGGAAATGCATGCCAGGTAACTTCAGCTGCTCGGGGAGCTTTTCTGCCAGGGCATTACCACATCCAGTGGCAGTAGGAATGACTGAGCTGGCAAGTGTTCACTTTAGTCCTGAACATCCTATGCCTAAAGTTGCTGCAGACAGCACAGTAGTTCTGTTTGTTTTCAGTCTCAAGTGGAATCTACGGTCTGTTCAGTTGGACTCTTAAGTTAAAGAGGAATCCAAATGGTTAATCGTGTGTGTAAGGGTTCTCCACAATTTTCATAGGGATTGTTGCTCATTTAATTTAAAGGAGCACTGAAAAAATACAAATGTGTAATGGCCAAAATCCTTTAAATAGGTTACTTCTAGCACATCATTACTGCAATGAAGGTAATTTTATAAGTTTGATTTTTCATGGTTTTTTTTTTTCATTTTTCTAAGACTAGACAATAAATTGTTAATTTCATTTGCTTCCTTGCCATAGGACAATGTTGCCACGTATTGCTTGAAAACACTATCAAAGGGAAATGTTTTTGTTAGGTTGGTTCAGGGGGACAGAGCAGGGGTATCTTATACTGGTGTACGGTATTGAGTTTGGGTAATATTTCTTTTGTATTAGCTTTTGTCAAATCTCACTTTACAAACCCTGACTTTTGGGTAGTTTTGGCTTACCAGTCTCTTGTCTGTTTTACTGTTGTGCTAAACCAGCTCTGGCTTGGAGAGGTCAAAAAGGAGAGCTTCATTTAAAAAGGGTTATTCAACTACGGAGATTATTCCATCTTTAAGCACACACGCATCCACCAGCATACTCCCATACCTTTAAAAGGACAATAATCAGAGGGCCAAACTGATGCTTCTGCACTACTTTAGTAATACCGGTAGGAAAAAAAAATATGTAGGCAGAAACCTACAGATTTACATATCTATAGCTGTTTTATTCTGAAAGCACACAACGTTTGAACAATACTTTGGAAACGAAGAAAGACTCATTAGGTGCATGGGCCATATCTTGACAGCTTCCTTAAGCAGTTCTTATCAGGCAAAGTTCCCATTCGATTTAAGTTCTGCCCAAGCAAAGACGACACAGTTTACCCTTTAATACGTGTGAGAGTGATATCCTACTATTATCTCGTGATAAAGTGAAGAGAAGTGTCCTAATTTTAATGACCCTTTCTCAAGACCCAGGTGGATGAGACAAGGTATTTACTGTCTGGAGAGTTCAAGTAAGGTCATTGATTAATTTCAGGTGGTTCCCTTCTCTTTGACCCCATGAGTTGTTAAGTTCATTGTGATCCATCTGATGCATTAGGGACATTATTGTATTGATTATTTTCCAAGGCAACACTTAATGAATATGTCAGAGAAGAGGACGATTTGTATGTGATGGGCCTTTGGGGTGGAGGAGGAAACACAGCATATGACTGAAGTCATTCGATTTAGCAGTTATAAAATTATTAACCTGTGGATGAGCCAGAAAGGATAATTGAAATAAATAGTGCCAAGAGGCCTTCTCTGAAAGGGAAGGCATTATCAGGTATCTGTGTCCTAACCCACAGATGGGAAAGCAGTGGAGATGATTTGTTTGGTTGGACAATGACAGGAGGCATAACACACAGCCAATGAGATAAGCTATTTTATCATCCTCTGGGGTCATTTCATACTGAAAGAGTCCTGCCTTGGTACAAGAGTTCTGAGGTCAATACTTAGAACTACACAAGTGAAGGGTATGATGAGGGGAACACTTCAGCTTTGTGTCATGCAGTGGAGGACTGAAACGTTCGCAACACATGATTCCACCCGAAGTGTCACACACAAAGTGGATACTGTTAGCTTGGATGTTAGTGCATTCACAGAGAAGATAAGCATTTGTTCTGCTTCATAACCATGCCTGCAACGTGCTCTCCATTCTGTCTGTGTTCTAACAATACTCCACTAGGTGGTGCTAAAGGCAGCATTTTCATATTTAAATAGGTACTGTAGAATAAGGATGAGGAATCTTTTTTGGGTCGGGGCCACTAACCTACAGAAAAATCAGTTGGGGGCTGCACGCAACTGAGAAGCAAAAAAAAAAAACCACAACCCAAAAGAAAAAACACCCCTCACTAATGTGGCCCCGGACTAAGAGAGACAAACACTCGGCATATTCCCTCCCCTAACACACAGAACCAAGGGGGCCCAGGCTAGTAGATTTTATGTGTTCTACCCGTGCAAGGGGGGAGGCTGGAGAGCCAGCATGGGCTCCACAATGCTAGGGGACGGTCCCGAGCTTTAGGGACCGGATCCAAGGAAGCTGGGAGCCACATTCGGCCCCTGGACCTTAGGTTCCGCACTAAGGATGAAAGTGAGTCGCTGAATAGTCAATCACCCAATAAGCCTAAGCCTATTGGGTAGTCGAGTCAACTGCTCGCTTGCCTCTCCTACCCCGGCTGCTTCTGCATCAAAGGCAGCATGGGGGCGGGGAAAGAGGAGCCAATGATGAGGGGGAACTGGCTTAAAACACGGTTCCCCCCTGCACTATCTCCATGATGCTGTCTGCCCCCACTCTATTAGAGGCAGCAGCGGGCGGGGGCAGGAGGTAGGGAAGGCTGCCATGAAGCAGCCCCTGTCTGCAGCAGCCCAGGTTGGCCATGTGCAGAGGCTGATGGACCTGGTGCAAACTGGATCCCACCCAGCTGGGCGGCTCTTACTACATTTAAAATGCAGAGCCGCAGGAAGCCCAGCTCAGTCCCAGCTTGCGCCAGGTCTAGGACCAGTGTTCCTCTGCATTTGAAATGTAGTCAAATCCGGATGACACAGTAGTCCCACACCTGGCATGAGCTGGGATTGCTGAGTCTCAGCTTGCGCCGGGTCTGGAACTTACCCCCATAAGTTGTTTAAATGTAGTAGGAGCTGGACTGCCTGCATGCCTGGCTCCTATTACATTTAAACTGCAGAGCCGCCACAGGGGGATAGCTCCTGGACCCCGCATGAGCTGGGTCAGGGCGCCTTCCCTTAATGAGTAATCATTTAGTTGATACAAATTGTATCGACTATAGAATTAGTCAGTTATCCACCTCTTAACATCCTGCTATAGAATCTCAAGGTTAGGAACACCAGATTTGCCAACTGACCAGTCAACCACACACCTCATTTGGAACTGGAAATACACAGTCAGGCAGCATCTGAGAAAAACATGCACGAAGAAGCAAATATAGTACAGTACTGTGTTAAATATAAGTTAATAAAAAATAAAAGGAAAGCAGAATTTTTATTCTGTATAGTAAAATTTCAAAGTTGTATTAAGACAATGTTCATATGTAAACTTTCGAAAGAACGATCAGGATGTTTGTCCAGTATTACGAACAACCTCCCTTCCCGAGATGTTTGTAACTCTGATGTTCTCTGGTACTGCCTAGAGCATTGGTTCCCAAACTTTTCGGCATCACGCCCTTTTTGATTTTTGAAAAACCCACCCACCCACAAAGGAACTAAGCGGGCCAGCACAAGTTGTTTAAGGGGGAAAAAACAAAACAAAAAGGAACTGAGCAGGGCAGCAAAACTTGTGGTAGGGGCTGGGTTGCCTCACTAGTTTCTCTGGCTGTAAATAAAGACATGGAGCTGGTCACATGGATCATTGGCTAATTCAATAGAACAATTTCTGGGTTCCTGATTAAGTCATTTAGGTATCTGGCATGTGTAAGTAGATTCTCTAACCCACTTCTCCTGTTTATTTTCCAGACACCCCGTCCGTCATATCTGGTTCAATACTCACAGCCTCATCACAGCAAATATCCCAGATGAGAAGAACCCTCGGGGTGCCAGCATCATGGATGATGACCTGACAGCTCACCGTAGGTGAGTGAATTGGCTCTGGAGGACAGAAATTTCTGCACCTGAACACTCAGTCTTAAAGAGGAGTGGAGACACTTATGAAAATGTCGGTTAAAAAAACCCAGGTTTTGATGCCAAACCAGTAACCAGACAAATGTGCAGCATTTAAAGCAGATAAATCTTCCAAGTTATCGGGAAATAATGTGCTCATTATTTGCCTCTGAACTTAGAAGTCCCCTCTTCAGTAGGGGAACACACAAGCCACTGAAACAGCATAGGGAATGCAGCTCTCCTTGCCTGGCTTTAAATGTTAGTCATGGCCTCTATTCCCTAAGAGAAAACGCTGACACCTAAACTAAGGTCTTGTCATTTACATATTTGTTCACTTTTGCCTTTCTGATAACAAGTACCAAGCTGTAATATAGGGATTTTTTGTGTCTCCGAATAAGATCATTTTAGAGCAAGTAACTGTTATATCTATGTGTTGCTAAAGTAAGTGAAACAAATTTAATCTTTCAGAGGCCGGGAAGGGATTTCCTTCTACCTACAATATTGCACAGATGTTCATGATGATTTGAGCCTTATTTGCTTTCTTGAAACAACCAATGTTGGCTGCTTCTGGAAACTGGATACAGACTTCTTTTGTGTTGGTAAAGATTTAACTTTGCTTGTAACACAAGTCAGAATAGCACATTGTCCTCTTTTTCTTTTTGGCCTAGGCATCGAGGAATCATCTATGCCTACGAATTCTCAGTGGACCAGTTGGTTCGAGAGAGTGTCCTTCCTATTTGCCGTTCTTCCTATGATGAAGTGATTGGTTACAACTACAACATTGGCCTTGCTGTCCCCTATGACAACATTTAGGTAATTTAGGAATGGTTTTTCATTGATTTTCTGTGGTCCAGTCCACTATGAACCAACATGGAGCAGAAAGGAAATAGGGAATCACAAAAAAGGGATTACTATGATTGCATTGATTTGATACAGCATAATTAGTGAGCTGGGTTCTTGCTGAAAACTGAAGGTATATGAACTGATGCTGAGGCTGTCCCCAAAAGTACCACTAGAACATACTGATAATCCAGAATGACCTTTGCTCTAGTCAGTGGAGATTGAAGAATAAGTGGGAGACTTAAACCTGGGGAAATGGTCCAATTCCTACTGGTCATAGGAAGAGTGCTGATTATCCTCATGGCAGATCGATGTGTCAAGGTGTGGGAAAGGAGACCCCTGAGTGGCAAAATGAGAGAGAATGCTTTCTCAACAGGATCATAAGGGCACAGAGAAGCTCAAACCTGTGCATATGCTTGGCTGTCCTGAGTGAAAGGAACGAGAACTGGGAGAAGGCCTACTGGAGAGCCGCAGCCTTGAGATCTCTTTCCTGCATAACAGCCTGTGTGTTTTGGAGGGCATGTCCAACAATCTGCAGCTGAACGAAGCGCAGTATACTTTTCACAGGCGGCAACTCGCTCTCGTCCAGGCTGGAGCAGCATGGAAACTAAGCTTGCCGTACACTTCAGAATTCTTTTAAAAGACGTTTTAATTTGAAAAATGTCCAGACCTGTACATTAAAGGTTCATAAATATTTACTATTGTAAGGATTTGCCTTCTTAAAGGTTTTAAGGTTGGCTAATCCCTATGTAGTACTGGGAAAGGTTGTCATTCCCCTGGTCTCTGCTGTACAGTGCCTTGTATTGAACTGCCTCCCTATACTGTATCTGAAGTTGATTTGATTCTCTGGATGTCTCTAAGAGTAATTCTATGAACCTTCGTAAAATCACTGAGGTAACATGATATTAGAGACTGATCATCCCCATTTAGCAAAGCAGAGAGGACATAGATGGCAAACTAAATGATTATACAAATTCTGTCATTCATCTTCTCTGTGTGATTAACCTATGTTGACCTCTGAGAATTGTACATGCTAAAGGATTGCTGGGTCTGACCCTGAATAAGAGAAGTTAGAGCTAAGGCATTGTCTACAGAGAGAGCCTGTGTTGATTTAACTAAATTTGGTTTAAAAACTGATTTGGCTAAGCTGGCGCCAAATCCTGCATGGTTGTAACTGCCATCAGTTTAAAACTGGTGGTAGTTCATTTAGCTTACATCTGTACTTTTCTGAGTGCAAAGCTAAACCAACATAAATCATGTTTAAGTGGATTCAGAGTGTCTACATATTTTCACTGGTTTAGCTAAATGGGTTTAAAATTATACCTTTATTTAAATCAGCACAATTTTTTGTATAGAGCAGGCTGAGAAACTTTTTGTGAAATGGTTTCTCTTTGTGTTGTCTCTGCACATAAACATTAGTCCCAGAGTAACGTCTCCTGCCTGAGAAAAGACATCGTTTACAATTATTTATTGTATTTGTTTGTGATGTTTTCCATGACCCCCAAGTAAATTTCTGTGTGTTGTTGAGTTGTAGCAACCCTGTTACTTTTCTCTAATAAATTGTATTAATTTTTTGTGAAATGGTTTCTCTTTGTGTTGTCTCTGCACATAAACATTAGTCCCAGAGTAACGTCTCCTGCCTGAGAAAAGACATCGTTTACAATTATTTATTGTATTTGTTTGTGATGTTTTCCATGACCCCCAAGTAAATTTCTGTGTGTTGTTGAGTTGTAGCAACCCTGTTACTTTTCTCTAATAAATTGTATTAAT